TGCGTCCACGTAGCCGACCAACCCCAGCGTTTCAGGTCCACCTCCAAACTCCAGGGCGGTGTCACGCGTGTTGGCGAGGTAGGCGAGTCAGCGGTCGACCTCGCGCCAGTGCTGGTCGCTCCTCACCGTGGGGCCGTTCCCTAGCTTGCTGCAGGCGAAGGCGATGTCCGGCCTTGTCGTCGTCGCTGCGAACTGCAGCGATCCGACCTTCTGCCGGTACTCCTCCTCTTGGCGCTCCTGTGCCTCCTAGTCGTCGAAGATGAGCTCGGCGTAGGTGTCAACCAAGACTGGCGTCTTTGGGGGTGCGCCCGGTCTGCTCCTCTTTGAGGAACCGCCTACGTAGCTTGTCGGCGTAGCCCTGCTGGTGCAGCCACAGCTTCCTCGCCGGCCTGTCACGCACGATCTCCAGCCCGAGGTACTTCTGCACCGGCGAGATCTACCACAGCTCAAAGGGGGCTTCTAGCAGCTATTCAGCTCCTTCAGCATCGCAGTGCTGCTGCTGGCGGCGAGCAGGTCGTCGACGTAGACCACCACCCAGCACGTCTCTCCGTCATCGCGGACCTTGATGTACAGAGCCTCATTGACCTGGATCTTCTTCCACCTGGCACCAACCAGCACGTCGTTGAGTACCTTGTACCACAGCAGCAGTGACTGCTTTAGCCCGTACAGGCTCTTCAGCAGCTTGCACACCCGGCTGGTCGCATCGTTGAAGTGGTCCGGCTGGTACATGTAAAGCACCCGGTCGAGCTTGCTCTGCAAGAAGGCGTTCTTCATGTCGAGCTCCATCAGGTTGAGGTTGAGGTTGAGGACGGCGATGATGCTGAGGAAGATCCTCAGCATGACGTAGCTGCTCACCGGCGCGTACGTCTCGCCGTAGTCGGCGCCATACACCAGTATGAAGCCCTTCACGACCAGCCCCGCCTTCTCTCACTCGACGGTGTCGTCGATGCGGTACTTCGTCGTCAACACCCACCGGTTCTTCATAATGTTCACCCCAGATGGGCGTTCGACCAGCTTCCAAGTTCCCATGCTGATGAGGCTGTGGATGTCCTCCTCCGTCGCGGTTTTCACCGCCTTGCCCTTCCAGCTTGCCAATGCCTAATTCACCATCTTCGTGGAGATGTCCCAGCGGTGCTTGGGGTCGGCGTGCATGTCAAGGTAGAGCTCCGGCAGTTCCTCATTCTCCTCGGCGTCGTCGTGCACCAAGTCGTCGTCGACCTCGTCATACCTGTGGTGAAGGTAGCCGGTACATAGAATTCTGGCGACCTCCGAAGTCGGCCTGTACGCCATGCTCTAGGATGAGCCTCCTTGTCGTCCCCTCCATCATCACAGGCGTCGCTACCCTCAGCATCCTGCTGCACCTCAGTCGTTATCCCAGCCGACTTCTCCCCTGCGGTCGGCTCCCGTGCCGACTGCCCGGTCGCCGACTGTTCCTTGGTCAGCTTCACTGCTGCCTGCTCCCTTGTCGACTGCTGCACCGAATTCGGCTGCACCTCCACCACTTGCTGCTCCTCGGTCGGCGTCAGCTTCGTTCCCACGCCGACTTTCACAACGTCACATCGGCCACCGGCGATGCTTTTGGCCGGCGCAACAGGCGACGCCCGACTGCAACCCTCATCGCCGGAGGCCGACGCCAGAATCAACCCATGCAGGTCGGCAACAAGGGGAGGTGTAGGGGCAGGGTAAGGGGAGGAAGAGTGGACATCCTCGGCGTCCTCAGCAGCAAGCTCACCAATCTCGGCGAGCAGAAGGAGCGTCGCTGTCGAAGTGTCCGTCGGCGGGTTGACCTGCATCCGCCCCGACGCCTTGCCGTGCTCCGACTTCCACACCTCCAGCAACATCGTCTGGTATAACACCACATCCGACGTGGTGACCACCCGTTGTCGGCGATATCCCGGAGCTTCCATTCTTTCCTCTCCTCTGACATGCCGAGATGAAGGCCCCACCTGGCCTTCGGCTTCAGCTTTCCACCGCGCTGCTGCTCGGGGACCAGGAACTGACATGCAGCCCCACACGCATGCCAGCAACACGTCGGGCTTCTTCCCAGTGAGTAGTTGGTACGGCGTCGTCCTCGTTGGCAGCGTCGACCTCTCAAGGCAGTTGCGGACCCAGATGGCCTGCCGCACAGCAAGGTGACACCAATGGTGCTGAACACCCATGTGCAGCAGCATCGCTCGCACCGACTCCACCACCGTCCTCATCTCTTGCTCCGCCATGCCTTTCTGCTGCGGGGTGTATGGGCAGGTTAGGTCGTGGACGATCCGTTCACGAAGTCGGTAAACTGCTTTCTGAGGAACTCCCCTCCTCGGTCTGAGCGCATCATCGGCATCGACTTCTTTGTCTGTCGCTCAGCCACCACCAGCCACTGCTTGAACTCCCGTAGCACGTCCGACTTCTTGGCGTGGTACGTCGACTCGATGAAATGCCACGCCCGGTGGCCGGCGTCGAGGTACTCCCTGCACGACTTCAGGGCGATCTGCACGCCCAGCGAGTAGCACCGCGAGATGACCGTGAAGGTCAGCAACTGCACTGCGCGAAACTCCGCACGCAGGTCGGGGTAGTGTTCCTCCAGCGTCGCCACGGTGCCGCGGGCGAAGCCGATCAGCCCGGCCATCTCCAGCAGGGGGGTGACTGAGATCCTGTCTGGCGTAAACTTGAAGTAGAGGTAGCTCGGTACAATTCCTCCCACAGTGACGAGGGTCGCCGACATCGGCGACAAACCGCTTCATTGACCTCCGACGTCGCCTTGCAAAGAGCCTGGAGCCGCCGACAACCGCATCTGTCGCGCCTGAACGCCAACGACTTTATTGGCGTGTATCACACCACGCTGCCTCGACGTGCCTCTCTCACTGTTGCCAACTTGGTCACCACTAGCGTTGATGCCCACGTCGATGCCGTCCTTGGCGTTCACCGGTCGAGGAGAAGCAGGCCGAGAAGGAGGGTGCTCTATCGCCTACACTGCATAGATGCCAGCCTCGACGACCGCCCAGGTCAGGTCGCCATACTTGTTAGCCTGGTGACATCTCCTCACGTTCTCCAGCCGTGCCTCCAGGGTGTCCACCACCCCCGTATCTACTACGGCGCCTACCATAGTGACTACCGCACAGCTGCCGGCCTACGAACACAAATTAGGTAAGTGACCCCTACGACGACTAGACCGAAAGGTAAGTCGTGTGCAGTCCACGCTCACCGCACCATGTGGAGATAAATCGTTTAACGGGATCTATGCTAAGGGCTAGGCACGAGGCTAGAGTGACCTTTGCGTTCGTTCGTTCCTTAGTCGTTTCCAAATGCTCACACTACTTGCTAGTTCACAAGGAGAATTGGCAAGAGTTTCATTAAAAAAAGTTGACAACAAATGATAGCAACAATATTGGCAACACAGACTACATCAGGGCTAGCTAGGCTGCTCGTCGACCTCCAGCGCAGCATGGTCGACCTCGGTCCAGCGCAACAGAGATCGCACCGCTCCAACGTTGCAGAGTAGCAGTGCACCAACGTTGCAAGTCTGCACTGTGCCAACGCTGCAGTAAGTCGTCTGCACAGCGTTGCACCCACGGACAACGGTGAACCTGCTTTGCAGGTGCGTGCACCTGGTTGGTGCACTACTCCTCGTCACGTGCACAGCGTAGACGCCCAGGTCGACTCCATGCCAACGACTGTGCCCACCGGCCACGTCGACCTCGGGATACCATCCCTGAGGTTGGCCTCGCGGAAACCACCCCGGCGACCTTCGCATACGTCGCCCGGGTATCCCGGTCGACCAGGCAACCTCGCCTGGTTGACCTACTCAGTCTGTAGCTAGCCACACATGCCCGGCGTCCCAAGTCCGGCGTCTAGGCACCCAAGATATCGTCCAGATGCCCAGGTCAGTGTCCAAATGCCCAGAAAGCTGTGCAGACGCCCAGGTTACCGTCCAGGCTCCCAGGATTCCAACCAGACGCTCAGGTCGGCGTCCAGGCTCCCAAGACGCCAACCAAACGCCCAGGTCGGCGTCCTCGTGCTTGGCGCCCTCCAGCTAGGCGCCCTCCAGCTCGGCGCCCTTGCAGTGGCCCCCGTGCCCACTGCTGTAGGTCAGCTGCATCCCTCGCACACCCGACGACGAGGTCGGCTCCGCCGAAGCAAGGATGGGGCCAAACAATACTCCAGTTGACAGAGAGTTGGAGCTGGGATTGGGGGAACGACCAGGGGAGGGGGGAGAAGGGGTGGTGTCAGTCCAACGGAGGGGGCGGGGGGGAAGGGTGATTGGGTCAATGGGAGGTGTGGAAACGTAGTACGTGGTGGACTCATCAAAGATAACATCACGACTGCGAATGAGGCGGCCTGAGGGAGGGTGGGGGAAGAGGTAATCTGGGGAAGAGGGGTTGTGGCCAAGGAAGATGCAGGGTAGGGTCCTGGCAGCAAGTTTGGCAGACTTGCAAGAGCGGTTTGCGGTGTGGATAAGGACATGGGCCTTACAGCCCCAGTCACAAAGAGGGGAGACATCAGTTTTGGTAGAGGTCCATAACTCAGAGGGGGTGGTGGAGGGACGAGTGGGGTGGGGATAGAGGTTAGCGAGAAGTGTGGCATGAAGGGGTGCATACCCCCAAAGGGAGGGTGGGAAGGAGGCACGCACCAAGAGGCACCAGGCCGTTTTGGTGATCTCTTGGATACGACTTTCTGCCACACCATTCTGCTGACGGGAGTGGGGAAGAGGGTAGGTGTGGCGAATGCCATGGGTTGTGCAGTAGGAGGAAAGTGTGTGATTGAGGAACTTACCACCACCACCTGAGTGTAGACGGTGGATCGGTTGTTTAAAGTGGGTGGCGGCTTGAGTGGCCCATGCATTGATGGCAGCAGGGGCTTCAGCCTTAGTGCGTAGGAGTGATACCGAGGAGTATCGGCTATGATCATCCACAAGGATGAGGAGATAGCGATGTCCCTGTCAGGAGGGGGAAGGATTGGGACCCCAAAGGACCATACGGACTAGGTCAAGGGGGGCGGGAGAAAAGTTGGGATGACTAGAATGAGGGTGTTGTTTGAGCTTGCTTTTGATGCAGACAGTGCATGGTGGGGCTGGGGAGGGTGGTGGGGAGACCATTAAGGAGGGAGGATGACACAGTTTTGCAAAGGGTGGCGAAGTTGGGGTGGCCAAGGCGATGGTGTAAGAGGATGGCGAGGTGAGTGAGCTCTCGACAGGAGCAGGGGAAGGGGTTGGGAGGGGTGGGAATGGTTGTGAGGAATACCTGGGGAGCGGAGGAGCAAGAAGTGCGGAAGGTGTACATGCGGGTGGTGGGACACATGGGGAGGCAAGTGCGAAAACGACTTGAGGTGGTGTGATGTAGGTCACAGTAGGATGCATAACCTGGAAAGATGGTGGTGACACTGGCTTGAAAGAGACCTTGGGAGATAAGGTTGTAGCGGAGGGAGGGGATGCAGAGATCAGTGACAGTGCCAGAGGGAAATATGGGGCATGAAAGGGTTGATGAGTGACAACTTTGGATGGCGAAGGTGGAGTCAGCACCAAGGATAGTGGGGGGAGTGGGGAGCGGAATGAGGGTTCCAACGTCGTGAGAGACTGTGTGGGAGGCACCACTGTCTAGAACAAATTCAATGGGTGGTGATGACGCGGAGCACTGGAATGACATTTTATTAATAGCATTGGAATGACATTGTATTGATAGCATTGGCATATATGGATGGGTCACTAGGTGTCGAAGGCTGAAGACTTTGGCCTACGAAAGCAGTAATGGGAAACGAGGTAAAACTCGGAGGAAGGGAGGGGGAGGGGGGAGGATTCTCTATCACCTGGGGTGGGTTAGTGGAGAGGACGGGTGGGGAAGGGGCCGGGGAGTAGAAGGGGTATGGGGGGAACGGGGAAGGGTACCAGGGGGTGGGAGGTGGGATAAAGCCAGGGGGTGCAAGGGGAGGGGGGGCCGGACTGTGGAGGTGTACATAGCGTGTGGTGAGACTGTGGAGGGACACGGGAAGAGGGGTGGTGGGAGACTTGAGAGATGGACAGGGGCTGATGGACTGGGGAGGTGCATTCATCATGGGGCGTGGGAAGGGGATGGAGGAGGTGCAAGCGTGGGGGGTACCAGTGTTACCACGCTCAAACCATTCATCGGTCAGTGACTTGAAGCAAGTGGCAGTGGTGTGAGTTGTCTGGAGGCAGTGTTGGCCTTTGAGCGAGCCATAGCGAATGTGGTATTGACACAGTGAGAGAGTGCCAAGTCCGGACGCACCACTGCACCCAGCACCACGGCCACCACCACCACCACCACGACTGCTCCCACCGCGACCACCACCACCAGGACTGCTACGTCCTACACCACGTCCCTCGTTGTAGCCGCTACTGGAGGCGCCACGGCCACCTCCTCCTCCACGGACAAGGGCAGCAGTGAGAGGGGAGGAGGAGTGAAAAAGGTCGGCGTCGGCGTCAAGAAGCCAGGAGATGATATTGGAGGAGGAGAATGCGATTTTGTGAGTGGTGTATGCAGTGGGGAGGGCGTCAAGGATACGGGCCATGAGGAGGGAGTCGGTGATAGTGATGCCGTGGTTAGAGAGGTGAAGAGCAGTGTCAGTGAGGCCGCGGGTGAATGTGGCTGCATTGGGAGAGGTCTCAAGTGCGATGGCCTAAAATTTGCGGTAAAGTGCAAGGAGGGAGTTGAGGTCTTGGCGGTCAAAGTGGGTGGTTAGGTCTTTGCAAAGGGCTGCAGAGGTGGTCGGGCGGATCTCTTGTTTGAGGGAGGTGGGAATGCATGCAAGGTTGATGTTGAGGGCTTTAAGGTCGGCGATACACCAAGCGGAGGAGTCGAGTTTGTATTTCAGGTCATCCACCCCGGTATTTGGTAAGCCGATGCGCATACTCGGTTGTTGCAGTGGAGTAGGCGGCAAGAGCGTCCTTATGAGCAGCGTCGGCGAGGACGTAGGTGCCATGGTCAAGAGTGTAATTACGAAGAGTGCGTGCCCATCGATGGGGATCATCGGGATGAGCACGAATGGGTGGAGCTGAGGGAGTTGGTCCTGGAGGGGGGGGGGGGATCAAGAAGAGGGGCGCAAGAGGGTGCTACGGGAGGAGGGGGGGGCAGCTCTGAAGGGGGTATCAAGCACAAGGTCAAGGAGGTTGTGGTTGTGAAGTGTTGTGGAGCCAGGAAGGACATGCATGCTTTCAAAGAACGAGGTCCAATTGACCGGAGTGGTATCAGCAATGAGCTCAAGACGGTCTCTGGAGCTGATGTCAATAGAAGAATCGGTAGCCATAACGACAAGGTGGGGGGGGGGACAACCACAAAGGGAGGAAGGGATGGGGCGGGGCGTAAGAGCTAGAATGCGTGGAGATGAGGTGGGTGGGAGGGTGCAGGCACAGTAGGAGGGAAGGATGAGGATATGAGACGGGATGGGAGAGAGCAGCCACTGGGGGAGGGGAAGGTGAGTGTGGGGACAGGTCTAATGTGTGTCGGATAAAGGCTTTGGTTGCCGAGGGTGTCGCGATCAGTGGCGGCGCGGGGGAGCAGGAGGAGGGACAGCCCCGAGAATCCGCGTGTCGTATAGAGGAAGGGGTGCGGACGACTGGTCGCGAGTGCGTAGAAGAGGGTCGCGGATGCGGGGGGAAGGCGACGCCCGTGATCGGTGGATTGATAAGAGCGCGGTGCTGTACGACCTAATCGTACAGTCGGTCGACAACAATATGTTTCAGCACATCAAGGATCTTGTGGAGCTGGATGACTCCGGACCGAAGGCGTGGAAGCTACTGCGTGACGTGATTCAGCCCAACACGTTGCCGATGGTGACTGTGTTGGAGAATGAGCTGGCTGCCCTCTCCATGCGACCGGGGTGATGATATGAAGCCGGTCTTGGACAAGATCAAAGACACCTATGCGAGGATGGCAGCAGCAGGCAGCAAGGTGTTGCAGATGCAGCAGTGCACCAAGATCATCTCGGTGCTCGACAACACGGGGGAAAGCCTCATCGCCACCCTCAACACTAAGCAGGACCAGTGGATACCTGAGCGGCTACGGTAGTAGATTCTGCTGGAGGATTTCCGCAGGCGCCACACGGGAGGCGGTGCTGCCAACAAAACTGCTGAGGGGTATGGAGCTGCAGAAGGCAGCAGAGGAAGAGGGGGTGGGAGAGGCCGAGGCCGTGGGAGAGGCTTTGGCAGAGGGAGAGGCCGAGGTGACTACAACGAGGGGCATGGGAGCTCTGGAGGCAGGGGGAGCACCCGAATGGAGGGTGCGTGCTGGTACTGCAAGACGGCTGGACACCCATGGCTCAAGTGTTTCAGCCGGCCGGAGGGATGGGCGCCCCCAGGCATGAAGCCGCCAAGTGGTGAACGTGCACGAGGTGGTGTTGTGCAAGGTACAGGTGCACAAGGTGATGGTGCACAAGGTAAAGCTGACCCTTGGATGTTCCTCATGATTGGGATGTGAAAGGGAGTGAGGGTGATGGGGGCTCGGTTGGGAAGTTTGTGATGCACCCCCTCACTCACTGGGTAATCGATTCAGGTTGCACAAGTCACATGACCCCACAGGCAGACTTGCTTGATGAGGTGAAGCCCCTTGGGAAGATCAAGTCTGTAGCTGCCGCTTCAGGTGCTTTGCTCCCTGTAATTGGTGTTGGGAATGCCAAGGTGATGGGAGCTTAAGGGGAGCTTGTGGGGCTTGGGAATGTACTGTTGGTTGAAGGTTTGTCCGCTAACCTCCTCTCTGTGCGCCAACCGTAGAAAAGCAAGGCCAAGATACATTTGGCCCGACCAGCTGTGGGAAGTTGCTGCTGTGGGATTTGGAGGAGAAGAGCAGCTGCATCAAGGACCTATGGCAGCTGCCCATCATCCCTTGGAACGGGAAACCACCAGCAACGGCAACGGCTGCAGCAGCGGCTAAGGCAACTGCGGGGGGAGAGGAGACTGCACCAACTGCTTGGGCTGTGAATGCAGTCAAGAAGGTGCAGCAGACACAGCAGCCACATGGTGAGGTGCTTGCTGGTGTGGATGCTACCGCTGCATGGGCAAAGGCCTTATTTGGGAGTGGTGAGGCTGATTGGGAGAGATGGCATGAGAGGCTATGCCATGTGAACATTCCTATGCTGCAGAAGTTGGTGAAGGACGGGAGCTTGAAAGGGTTGGAGGTGAAGGGGGCAGCGAGGGAGATTGGGAGCTGCCCTACATGCCTTGAGACTAAATTTACCAAGTTCCCCTTCAGCAGCAGCACGGGACCAGCCAAGGCTCCACTTGCACTTGTGCACGTGGACGTGGTGGGCCCCACGAGGGCCCCTTCTCTCTCGGAAAGCCGCTACTTCTTGACCATTGTGGGCGACCACACGCCGTGCGTTGTGGGTATACCCTCTGAGGACTAAGGGGGAGGTGGCAGCGGCTGTTCTCAAGGAGTGGATGTCGAGAGCACTAAGGGAGAGTGGACACAAGGTGAAGGTGATCCGCACCGACAACGGGAGAGAGTTCATTGGTGCTGTTTTTGAGGTGGTGCTGAAGAAGGGGATCCAGCATCAGCTCACAGTGCCTTACAACTCTCAGCTGAACGGCGTGGCTGAGCCGTTCAACCGGACCTTGCAGGAAGGTGCTCGCACACTCCTTGGGCGCGCAGGGCTGCCGGATCCGTTTTGGGTGACTGCACTGCAGCAGGTCGCCCTTGTGAAGAATAGGGTGCTGACAATTTTGGTGGACAAGCAGTCAGTCCCCTACACCAAATGGTATGGGAGTGCACCAGCAGTCAACATGCTGAGAGCCTACGGCTGCATGGTGGTGTTTCATGTGCCTAAGGAGAAGAGGGGAAAGCTGGAAGCTTCTGGGAGATGGGGTGTGCATCTGGGGATTGCTAAGGATCACAAGGGCTGGTTGATATGGGACTTGACCATGTTGTGTGATGCAATCATATGCATTCACGTCTGTCTGCCTCCCATCATATGTTCGTGCGTTGCATGCGTGGTGTGAGCGTGTGCAAGAAATTGTGTTTTGTGTGGTTTGAATTTTCTGAGTGTGTACAAATGTTATTTGGCTTGAGCAGATATCTGAAGTGACTTCTCTGCTCAAGAGCTCCCTGACAAACCAAGTATCGCTTCAATCGGGGCACGATCAAGAAAGTTACGAACGTTGGAGTTCGTATGCCTTTCATATATGATTGTGGCAACTGTGGGAAGTTGTGGGGTTGACTCAATATGGGGTACAGACTTTGGGGGTTGGGAAATTTGTCTTTTCTACTGTAGCCAAGATCATAAGATCTGCTTGATCAGGTGAAGCCCCCTGGCAAGATCAAGTATGTGGCTGCCGCTTCAGGTGCTTTGCTCCCTGTGATTGGTGTTGGGAATGCCAAGGTGATGGGAGCCAATGGGGGGCTTGTGGGACTTGGGAATGTGCTGTTGGTTGAAGGTTTATCCGCTAACCTCCTCTCTGTGCGCCGGCTGCAGAAAAGCAAGGCCAAAGTGACTTTCGGCCCAACCAGCTGCCATGCAAAGCTTGGGAAGTTGCTGCTGTGGGACTTGGAGGAGAAGAGCAGCTGCATCAAGGACCTGTGGCAGCTGCCCATCATCCCTTGGAATGGGAAACCACCAGCAACGGCAGCGGCTGCAGCAACGGCTAAGGTAGCTGCAGGGGGAGAGAAGACTCCACCAACTGCTGGGGCCCTGGACGCAGTCAAGAAGGTGCAGCAGCCACAGCAGCCACATGGTGAGGTGCTTGCTGGTGTGGATGCAACCGCTGCATGGGCAAAGGCTTCATCTGGGAATGGTGATGCTGATTGGGAGACGTGGCACGAGAGGTTGTGTCACATCAACGTTCCTATGCTGCAGAAGTTGGTGAAGGGTGGGAGCTTGAAGGGGTTGGAGGTGAAGGGGGCAGCGAGGGAGATTGGGAGCTGCCCTACATGCCTCGAAACAAAGTTCACGAAGTTTCCCTTCAACACCAGCACGGGACCAGCCAAAGCACCACTCGCGCTTGTGCACATGGATGTGGTGGGCCCTACGAGGTCCAATTCTCTCTCGGGCAGCCGCTACTTCTTGACGACCACACGCGTGCGGTGTGGGTGTACCCTCTCAAGACCAAGGGGGAGGTGGCAGTGGCTGTTCTTAAGGAGTAGATGTTGAGAGGTCAAAGGGAGAGCGGACATAAGGTGAAGGTGATCCGCATCGACAACGGAGGAGAGTTCATTGGCAATGAGTCTGAGGCGGTGCTGAAGAAGAAGGGGATCCAACATCAGCTCACAGCGCCCTACAACCCTCAGCAGAACGGCGTGGTGTGAGCGGTTCAACCGGACCCTGCAGGAAGGTGCTCGCACTCTCCTTGGGCGTGCAGGGCTGCCGGATCCGTTTTGGATGACTGCACTGCGGCAGGTCGCCCTTGTAAAGAACAGGGTGCTGGCGACTGTGGGGGACAAGCAGTGGGTCCCCTACACCAAGTGGTATGGGAGTGCACCAGCAGTCAACATGCTGAGAGCCTTCGGTGGAATGTTGGTGTTTCATATGCCTAAGGAGAAGAGGGGAAAAATGGAAGCTACTGGGAGATGGGGTGTGCACTTGGGGCTTGCTAAGGATCACAAGGGCTGGCTGATTTGAGACTTGACCAGTCAGCAGCTGACTGTGTCAAGGGATGTGAAATTCCTTGAGTCCTTGTACTACAAGGAGTGGAAGCAGCAGCAGCAGAAGCTTCCTACCACACCGCTAATCATTGAGGCTGATGAGGTGCAGCGGCCTTCGAGGCAAGTGCAGGTCACTGTCTCAGAGGAGGAGATTTCTGGGGTGACTGACGATGGGGGAGAACCTGAGCTGGAGGAGCAGCAGCAGCAGCAGCCGCAGCAGCAGCAGCAAGATGCTCCACAAGGTGCCGCACGTCCGGCTGACCGTCCAAGGAGGGATGT